AATAATAATACTTAATAAACTAATCTTAATTATAATAATAATAATTATTATTATTATTATTATTATTCGTTTAAATTAACCATATTATATTAAATAAAAATTAAGCAAATTTTCATTTCATTTGTATTATATTAATAATATACTTAATATATTAATAATATAATATATTATTAATAATATACTACTACTTCTACTACTGCTACTACTACTACAAATACTAGAGCAAAATGTTTTTAATGTGACAATATGCACCTCGTGCATCAGAGGGGAAGTAGAGTGCTAGGATGTTGGTGCAGTACTGCTGCAGGTTGTTCAGAGAGTTGAGGTGCTGCTGGAGCTTTCCATTAGGCAGTTTGATCTTCAACAGAGGAGCCAGGTGTGCAAACACATACGCGTCCAGCGATGAGGGACTGCAAGCACATGAAACATCACGGTCACAGATGCGAATGATTTCACACACCAACACATACATACACAAATTACGCAATTACACACAACTGGTGTTGCTTACAAGTCTCCGAAGAAGAATTTCTGCGACCCCAGTCTCTGCGATAGGAGGGTCATACATTCAAATGCATCACGATAAAGCTACAAAGCAGAAACACAAAGATTACGTCTCATTTTCCAAGAACAATCTATCGTAACTGCTGGCAGTATTTGTAAAAAGGACATGTATATCTGTCTTCGCTCATAACTGTCTCTTCCATAGCCTTCCTCTAAACCCACCAAAGCAGTGATAACACAAAGACATGTTGCTATGGCAATCAGACATATGACCCAATTCTTTCTGTTGTGTAAACATATGATGGAGATCCTGCAGAACAATCCCGGGGTGTCTTTGAAACAAATGTAGACCACCAACAGACTGTTAAAAACAAAGACTACATATAGAAATGGCCTTCTAATGTGTTCTCATGGTTTGAATGTAACAGCTTTTGTTGACAAAGTAAATAAAATCTACTGATGACATAATTTTGGATAAGCATTTACTTTAGCATACAGTATACCTTTATTATACTGCCTTGTTAACTAGCGAAAGCATTTTAGAAGTGTTTAACAGTGCTTAACTTGCTAATTGGAAACTGGTTACAACTTTGGATTACAGCTATGGATTACAGGTGATAATGTTGCAAATAATGTTCAGTTTCTTGCACAGACTGACTGTTTTGCTTCATAAGACCTCAATATGTCATCAGGAGTCACAGGTATTAATTTTGTCTTGCCTGTATTTGCTTTTTTTTTTACTCTCAAAGTGACAGTAGCCATTGTCTTGCCTTTTATGAATCACCGAGGATCACCGTTTCAGCTAAAAATCGTCTTTACTGTTCTACTGAAAAAAAAGGTCACCTACAGTAGAGGTGTGCAATATTTATCTTCGACGGTAATACCGTAATTGTTGTTTTAACGATTTGTGAGCTGACATTAGAGTAGGTATGAGTATTTGCAAGAAACAAACAAATACACATCTTGAGAGTACAAAAGCATTCACTGCGTGATGAAGCCTATGATAATGCAGTTACAATGCCCCTATAATTCGAGTTACGAAAGCAAAAAATAACCCCTGTATGGGTTTTTGTTTTTTATAGTTATAAGATATGATATAGTTAAGCAATATCACAGAAGCAAGAGTGCCGTGATTGCGCGTGTTGCATTGATTTTATACAACAGTTCAACAAACAAGAAATTAATATTGAGTGAGTTACATTATGGACACAATGTTGTCTGCTTCGTCAACTTCAGCAATATCACAGAAGCAAGAGTGCCGTGATTGCACGTGTTGCATTGATTTTATACAACAGTTCAACAAACAAGAAATTAATATTGAGTGAGTTACATTATGGACACAATATTGTCTGCTTTTTCTGTTTCAGTTCTAAAATAAAGCCGGAGCAGAACATTTGTGCGTTTCAGAGCAACAATGCAGTGTTTCGTTCCTGAATGAATGCGTTTTTGAACAAATCATTTGAGTTAATGATTCAATTATCTATTCATAAAGACAGTCGCTTGCTTCATTTCTAAATGAATCAGCCGTTTTGAACAAATCATTTGAATGAATGATTCAATGAAGGCAGGGACTTGTCGCCACCTACTGGCGGCATTTATTTATTCATGAAATGCCTAAACCAGTTAAAGGTGGGGTAAGCGATTTTTCAAAAACGCTTTAGAAAACTGATTCGGGCCGAATAGCAAAACAAACTTGTAGCCAATCAGCAGTAAGAGGCGTGTCTACTCATGACGTGGAGGAGAGAGAGTTCAGTGCACAGGACGGACATTAGCCGAGCTGAGCGACAGAAAGATAGAGATGGTGGATAAAAAAACAAAATAGGAAAACGTCTGTGGAACAAAAGAAGGCTTAAGGCAATAAGGCAAGAAGTAGGACCC